TAGGCTGACTAATACGTCGACCAGTATAGGCCTGGCCTATACGGGTCTGTGGCACCGTAGTATATTGCCAATCCACCTCGGTGCCCACTAGGGCTGGGGTCAGTCCGGGCATATCCGATACGGTATTTTGGGGCCCTCCAGCCTCTAGTAGTAGTACAGTTACCCCCGGGTTTTCGGTGAGTCGGGAGGCTATGACAGCACCGGCCGAGCCCGAGCCCACTACTATGTAGTCGTAACTGCCGGCCCATTGGCTACGGTTTGCATTATTATTGTGTGATAATTGTCGTTGTAGTGTCAGTACTGAGATGGTGATTAATTGCACCGACAGGCTTGTGGTTATTAGCGTCATTTAAGCTTGATAAGATATGATTGTCTAACATACAATAGCAATTATTTGGCCCTTTCTAATTTTAAAATGTAACTAATTATTTATTATACATTAACATTAGGCTATGTGTATGTATAAGACAACAAACTATAGTTTTTTAACTGCATTAATTCAGTAAACCCATAGATTTAACATTAGTTTATTTTGTTTTTTGAATGGTTTGAGATAATGTATTATAAATTATTAATTTATTTATGTCCTCCAGACATAAACTTATTATACAGTTGACATACAGTAATACATAATAAATATATTTTGCAATTAATATTGTAAAATATATAAGGGTACCATTTTAATCAAAAACTATTATTATTAAGCGTCTATTGACCTTTTGATATTATAAAACAAACTGTATTTAAATAGATGTCACATTTAAAATAATTTAAGTTTAATTTAGTTGTATATGTTTTGGTTTAATAGAATTTCTTTATTATATTGAATATACAGATTCATTTTGCTAATTATAAATTATATTAATTACAAAAAATTAAATAATATTAATATTTTAATTTTCTCTAATTGAATATAACTACAAATATTTAAATCATTGTCTAATTTTATTAAATTATATCATTATTAATCTGATGCAGACTTTTTAATGACCGGTATAATTGTTTGAGCGATTGGTTTGAATATCAATGTTATAATATTAGCCAATGGACTCTCGATGAGTATATGGTAGATATACGACAATATTATAACGTAAATCAAATCAATGGCCAAATGTTCAAACTATTAAAAAAATACAATTTGTAACTTTAAGCTTATACAATAATAATTAATATTATAATACCATATTAAGTATCATTTAAACACTGTAATTTACATAAAACTAGCAATAAATTATAATCTTTATATTAAATAATTGCAAATTATGGCTGTAAATAGAACTGTAACTTTTACAATAAATCGAAAAAGTTACTTAATTTAAATTATAATATTTTAACAATTGGTATAAGTATTCAAATGTTGAGCATTTATTTTGTAAATAATTGTATTTATATTTTTACCATATATTTATCGGACATAACGTATGTGTAATGAACGGAGAAAATCCGATGCATAACAACCAAATAGTGTAGTATATAAATACCAAATGACAGCCGAGCTATTGGTTGTATAACACGGCTGGATAGTGCCGTATTTAACATCTCTATAGTTTTACGGTATATAGCATGCAAATATAATTAAAAATTGTAATTTAATAATTATGATAATTTATAAATATACCTGCCCGTCCAGTACAGCACGCAAAATAGATCCAGCCAAACCCCAGACTAAAAAACAATTTGCCCATGGTATGCCATAGTAGAGCGCTCATTAACGGGGCAGAATGATCGAGTCTGAAAAATGAATTATGCCAAAAATATACCGAGGGTATTGCCACCAATGCCAGTAACCAGCACATAAATGTAATATATTGGTGTATGATCAGGGATTTGCGATGCATCAGATACCCAAAGGCTATGCCAACAAAATAGGAGGTGATGTAATTGTTGGGCATAAAATGGTACCAGTTATATGAGCGTGATAAACTGTATACTACAGTATCCAAATCCCATATTTGTAGGTATGGCCGGATGTTGTACAACAGGTATGGCCCTATAGATGCAATAACACCGGCACCTATTGCCATAATAACGGTCAGTAAACCTATGCGCCGATTTCGGTGGTATATCAGTACAAACGGAGTAGATATCAATGTTAATTGCATTAATGCTGATATGAACCATGATGGTGGATTGCACTGAATTGCCAAGATAGTTAATAATGTAAATTATTATTTAGTATATGATAAAAACCTTAGAGTCGGCTATTTGATGCATGTCTTTAATATCGTGGCGAAAGTTGTGGATCAGCATGGCCATTTTAAGCAAATTATCCGAGTTCTCGCATCCTGGCGTAACCCATTTGACCCCTGTGTGCCAAATGGGACCGTCACCTGTCAAGCCATACAGTATGAAGAATGGTATGGCGCCAAACATGAGGGCCACGAAACGCAGGTAACGCTGCAATATAAACGACCAGTACTTGAACGCCGAGTTTGGTTTACGTAAAGCATTTAATATGCTTAATGATAGTAGAAATCCGCTGTATAATTGGTATAAATCAAATAATTAGCATATTGAACAAAATTACATATGAACTCTTACAAATAAATGTGTAGTTTAAATAAATAATGTTTAAAATGTATATTATAAAACTGTAATGTAGTTAATATTAATTACATGTAAATAGTATTTATCACAATTTTATTCATAATAATTTTTGGGATGCAGTTTTCGCTATCAATTTACGTTAAGTCTTATTAAATTTTTATTGAATCACTGTTATTAATATAAACCAGATCTTACTTTTTAAAAATAATTATATTAAAATTTTTGTAAATAATTAAAGTAATTATTGAAATTACTAAAAGTTGTGGGTAAAATTTATATAGCAATAATTTATTATTATAAAACTGTAATTTAATTCATATTTATTAAATCGTATTGTAACAATTATATTTATGTTAAATATTGGTGTGCATCTGACACTAACACTATTTGATATTATTAGTAATTTTATAATTATTAATATTTAAAATGGTTACTTTGCAACTGGCTAACAAAAAATATATCTTGATACTATTTTTGCAAAAACATACCTCAGCGTAAACAAGCCGTCGAGTATGATATCATTGCGCGAAAAAATATACTTATTATCGGCAAACTCTTTATGCATGACATCGCTGAGCACTTTTTTAAAACTTAACTGACCCAGGCTACCAGCGTATTGGTACATATGGGCTGCGTGTACATTCACAATCCATAATAGCCTGAATGTATCAAGGCAGGCGAACTTGGTACTTTTTTCAAATAATACACCAGTGTTACGGATCAGTGAAAATGATGTCAGTAATTGTTCCTGTTTACTATCGTGGTACTTTCGGTCACGAAGTAGTACCCACTCGTACCCGGTGCTGAATGCCACGGTGATGGTTATAGCAATTAATAATAAACTAGATAATGTAATGTCATTATAAATTATGAATTATGATGTTAAGTTTTGTATATTTACATTGCTAATTGTTGGTACGCGCTTAGTGGTTTCCTCTCGCCTTTTATTTGACATTCCGGGCCCACCTCTAAAGGTATGCGAGTTATCGGGAAAAATACTGCAATTAAAAATCATGATAGATTAGTGTTTTAAAACAAAGTGATATGGTTTTCAATAGTTAATAATAGTTCTACAATTATTTATGCATATATATTCTACTATATTCACTTAATACTGAAGTTTACAAGCAATTCAATATCAAAATGTTTAAAATATTTATCAATTATAAACAATTCTTTAAAGTTTAAACATGATACTTTTTGCTTTTAATAGTAAAAAGTTTTAAAATGATTAGATTATGTATACTAACGATAATTGATACAATTTCCATTAACACAATGTTTCACACACTAATTTATGTGTAAGCATTCTATCACATACATGTTTTACAGTTTATATCAATAATAAAAGCTCACTAAATATTATTAAATTAATACCACCTACATTTATTAAGCAACTTCTCAAACTCTCGAGCGCTGCAAAGGGATGGTATGCATAGGCCATTGCGAAACAGGGTGCCATTGGCCATGTTTAATGTTTCAATAAAACCACGTTGAGTGGCCAACTGGTGCAACCCGTGGTAGTCAAGCAGCATGGAAAATGCGGGCAATATTTTATCACGATCGATGTTAGAGGAATTCATGGGCGGGAACGGAAGTATGACTTTGAGCATACAGTACTGGCCTCGTATAGGAGTGAGCCAGGGCGTTTGTGGACTTTCAGTGTCCAAACACTCGGTGTAATCGCCAAAGTTTGACTCAACCCCCTCTAGAAAACCCGACTCCAGTGGCCGACCCGTTGCGTCTAAGACTGTAATTATGTAGTTAAAAAAATTTAGTTATTTTAACAACATGTAATTTTAATTTACAATGGTTTTAGCGAACCTCATAGTATATTGATTTACTAGTATAACTTTTGTTTAGATTTATAAATTACATTTATCATAAATCACATTAAAAAAACTAATTTTAGCTTAACATTGATTATTTAAAAAAATATATACTAACTGATAGTTTATTAATTATAATAAATTTCAAATATTGATAAGTATTGTTGTTAAACCTTGATAATTTCAACTTAAATAATGTAAAAAGTAGACATTACATTTAAGGGCCCACAACTCCCGAGCACTCATAGCCATCACAATCCTAAACAAGGCTATTAAACATTTGCTTTTGAAACCCAGACCCAGAGCTACGGTAATTGCACTGAAAAACTCTATGGCTTTATACTTGACTCGTATCTCATCGTTAGGTATTAGCAAATACTCGGCGCTGTGCTTGAGATTATGGTAAATGTTCAAGGTGTCATTTATGGATTGAACGTGTTTGGTCAGAGTCGCGTTTTTGCCCTTTTCATACAACACTTTCCATTTGTCAAGCAAGGTTAAGTCCAAATTGTGGCTAGTGTTTTTGTTTGTGCCATCGTCGTAATTTTGTAAGTTACGGTTTACCTTGTCAATAAATTTGTCCAAGTGCATTAATTTGAAATAGTTTTTTACTACTCCTATTATAGATGATGTTTGTGTAGTAGTGTCTATATTATTATCATCACTAGTATCATCAGCTTGATCATTTAGTTTTGTGGTGGTAGTTGCACTTGTTGTTGTATTTAATGTTGAAACAATTTCATGATCAGTTTGAATTTTTAGATTTGTTGTTGATAAATCTGGTGATAATTTGGTGTCGGTAATATTTGCATCACATATATTTAGTAATAAGCACACAATTATACATGTAGTTATTGATTTATTTATCATCATTATCACAATTTTATTGGATAATCTGCAACAAATTAATTGAAAACGTTAAATTTTTACAAATGTTTGTTAATTATTTTACAGTTATTACAAATCTGTTATTCGTATCTATATGTTTATGAGCGTAAACTAATGTCATTTCTACGTTAACAAAATTTATAAAAATTTGTACGATAGAGCAAATTATTAATATAATTAATTAATATGTTTTCTACACGTTGATAAATTTATGCGTCATATTATGATTTATAATTAAAATTACAACCATATTTACAAATTTATTTAATTAATCTTTACTTTTAACACTACTTTTTAATTATTATAACAATTAAAAATTTATATTTTAAATAAATTACATTTATCCTTTTTTTAACCAATAATACTCAATTAAACAATCTATTTAACTCAGTTATATTTGCAAAAAATTAAAAGTTACAGTTTGTTTAAGATAATTGTTTGTACAAAAATAACCTCTAAGCATTTATTCAAGATTTTTATATTATTTAATTAAATTATGTTATCTTATGTTATCTGATACTTATATAATTTTAACGATGTAATTGAAATTATTTATAGTGAATTATTGATCATTCTCAAAATTTATGATAATCTTTAGGAGAGTGATTAATGTTTTATTGTATGGACTATTGTCATGTATTATTAATTTCTCTAACTCTAGAATTATTAATTTAAAGTTTTACAATTTATAAATCTATTAAATGATTAATACTAATAAACATAATTATAGGTATAATGGTACAAATTCATTAATAATGAATAATTATGAGCTAATTTTTGTTCAAACCCGCATATTTTACTTCCAAAATAAATTATTAAACATTGATTAGTTTAGATAATTAAGTAATTCATTCCTTATTAAATATATAATAATTTATAACTATTTAAATATGAAAGTTAATTATTTGTCTACATATAGTATAAGATTTCTTATAATTTTATTTATTTATTTATTAAATACTCAACATTTAATTAATTGCCAATTATTTGATGATAATCCGGATATATTTCGCCAATCAGTAAGCATTAAACAATCTATGAAATCAATTTTTAAACTAAATTTTATACTTTTACTATATAAATTTTAATAAACTATAATTAGAAACATTTATCACATGCTAAATAATACTGATTAAATGACATGTTGCATTTATTATTACATTAGCACATCTTTAGTCTATTTAGATATTTTAAAATAATTACAATATTTTAAAACAAAACCAAAAATCATACTTTTTATCATTTTTTAAAAACATTTTTTATTTAAACACAATTACAATCATTTACTAACAACCTAGCCACAATTAATTGAATCACGTGGCTTTCAACCGGAAACCCATACAATAACTACAGCCGATGGCTATATATTACGGGTGTTTCGTATAGTGAACCGACAGCTCCGGAATAGTGGCCGTCGGTTAAGGCCCAGACCACTAGTCCTATGGCATGGGGTGGCCGTCACGTCTGACTCGTGGTTATTTTCAACCATAGGCGCGATAGACAATCGCGGCTTATATCGGGAAAACAACGGTATTCTAAATGATTGTGACCGTAATGTCACGTCTACCTTAGCGTTTACGTTGTCTGCCTGTGGTTATGATGTATGGTTGCCAAACACTCGCGGCACTCACTATAGCCAGGATCATATAACCTTAAATTCTAATCGAGGTTTGTGAATTAATTAATAAATTATTTATATGTAAAAATAGTTTGTATGAAGATTATATTGCATATAAAATTAGTAATTGTGTAATATTATTGATTATTAGTTAGTAATTTTTGTTAATTAACTATGACAAAATAATTATTACAAATTAATAGTAATTACTACAAATAAATAGATTCTAGATACTGGCAGTTTACACTGACAGAAATGGCTGTGTATGATATACCTGCTGTGGTACGTTATATACTACAAATAACAAATTCTGGTATATAAATTTATATAGTTAATATAATATATAATAGTTTAATTTACTATTTATTTAAATTACATAGATTCTGTCTCATACATTGGCCATTCGTTAGGCACGGCCCAGATGTTTGCTTTACTATCTTTAGTGCCTGATTTTGAACAATTTATCAAACCATTTATAGCACTGGCCCCTATTGCATACCTTGGTCATATTGAAAGTATAGGCAGGTTAGGTGTACCGTTGGAGCCAATATTAAGGTAACACTATTAATTAACCATATATAAAACTTGATATTCTATTAATGATAATCCCTGTCAAACACCTAGGTCATTCCCAGGACCATTAGGAATACCTGTGCCCATTGCACAGATAATTGGCATATTTGTTTGCGGCAATGAATTGCTGGTGAATTTATGCGCTGATATATTTTACGCTATTAATGGTTACGATGCGCAAAATTTCAACAGGGTATTTACTTTGTGATTATAGTTTAAATTATTTAAAAATATTCTCCTTGATTTGCTGATGCCAAAAATCTAGTTTCATAAATTATTTAATAAAATTATTTCAATAAATTGTATTAGTTGACAGTTTATAATAACTATATAAAGTAAGGTTTACAATGTAATTTTTAATAATTTACACGTGTATAATTTAATATAACATTTTATTATATTATTCTTACTATAAATAATTCTAATAAAAAATTGTAGTAACTAATATAATAATTACATTTTACTTTATATTTAGTCAATAGTTCCAATAGACGCGGCTCATTCTGGAGCATCGGTGTCCACGTGGGTGTACGCTCACCTTGCTCAGTTGGTTGTTAATAAATGCTTTAGACAGTTTGATTATGGAATAACGCAAAATCGGCGCCATTATGGTCAAGCAACACCACCTAGTTACCCCCTGTGCAATATAACATCTCGTAATATAGCACTGTTTAGGGGTCTAAATGACCTGTTGGCCGATAACATGGATGTCAGTTTACTTGTTCAACAATTATCTGGTTAACATTTTTATTTGTTTTATTCTGTTTAATTAATTGAAAATAATTGTCTTGTTTTGTTTGATCTAGTACCACTGCTCGATAATTATATAGTGCCCGACCCCAAATGGAATCACCAAGATTTTCAACTCGGCACATACCAGGGCTATTTTGTTAATGAACGTGTTTTAGGTGTTTTACGCCAATATGATTAAACAACAAACAAATATTTTAGTTTTCTTTTTATAATTAATTACAAAGTTAATTAATTATGCATAGTATTAGTATTAACAAATATAAATGTATGGTTAACATAAAATAAACTAACATTAAAATAATTATTATGTCATTTATTGTATTATTTGCTTTTATTTATAAGTTATATTGATATTATTATTAGATAAAACATGAACATGGTGTCTAAAAAATTCATCCGAGAGCAATTTGTGTACATATCTGATCACATATATAATTTTTATACAGAATATTAGGGCCTAAATAATTCTTATATATTTAAACAAATAAAATAAAGCTTTGCAAAACATATTGGATATAACTAAAATTCAGGAGTAAAAACACGGCGAGTATAACCATCTCCTTTGTTAATACCATTTGTATTTATTATTTAACATTATAAATAAACACATCTAGTTTTAAAGTTTAGATAACAGCTTGTTTTATTATTAAAATTTTGTTACAAATCAAAATTACTAAATATCAAGACACTAAAATCCATTTTACATTAATTTAATTTACATTTAATAAATATATAATTATTAATTTAGATTTAATTTGCTATCAGAGTTGCATGAAAATTTACATAGGTGCCAACACCCACATGAGTTAGTAAAACTAGAGTGGAACAAACAATTTCTTGCAAAATTCTATGCATGTAAAATACAGTATAAGAGTTATTATTTGTCATTCACGCGAATACTGTTAATGCTCTATAAATAGGCATCACTTAAATGCACCGCATTTTGTAATCGTTATATTAATGCAACTTTTATTGAGACACACCATAAGCATCTCTCTCTCTCTCTCTCTCTCTCTCTCTCTCTCTCTCTCTCTCT